CCAAACATCTCCATATATCTTGTTTTGGGGCAAAACAGATAGTGAAGTCCAGTAGAAGATATACCTCTATCTGTGCCTGTGTAGCATAAGAGAGGACCAGTCCTTCACACAAAAATGAAAGAATGTCCACTAGCTTTCTCTAATACAGGTAGTTCTCAACTTACAACCATTCATTTAGTGACCATTCAAAGTTACAACAGTAACTTTTTCACACTTACGACTGTTGCAGCATCTCCATTTCACATGATCTAGATTCGGAAGCTTGGCAAGTGGCTCATATTTAGGACATTTGCCGTGTCCTAGGTAATATGATTGCGTTTTGTGACCTTCTGAAAAGCAAAGTCAATGGGGAAGTCGAATTCACTTGACAACCGGGTTACGAACAACTACAGAGATTCACTTAACATGTATGGCAAAGAAAGGTCATAAAATGGAGCAAAACTTGCTTAACAACTGTCTAGCTGATGGGCATTTGCCCATGGGCATGAGCCTAGGGGCCCCATACTAACCTGCACCTGGTATCATATAAATACAGCAACATATTTACTGCATTTTTTTATTAATACTAACATGCATTAATATAAATTAATATTGATTTTTTTAAATATATGTTTAATTTTATCGACCATTTACATTTTTATTCCTGTGACTAGTTGTCGTAGGAGTCCCAGTACATTGCTTTGCCCGGGGCCCATAATGCTATTAAGATGGTCCTGGAACACACTAAGTTATAAAACATGATTTATAAACCATAAATGGCCAAGCTGATATACTGAACAATGCCAAACCACAATAGCCAGATTTGATCTGTGTACCAAGCTATTGGCATGTCATGCCAAGGGGAATTCTGGGAGTTGAAGTCCACAGATCTTCAAGTTATCAAGATAGAGGTAACTAATAGATAGAGGTAACTGCTCTGACAAGAAAGAAGCAGATACAGTTCAGTAGCATAATTTGCAGTGGCAAAAAAAGAGAGCAAAGATCATTTTTCCAGAGTGTTACATCTCTGCGTTTACAAACTGATTTTTTTTTTCAAAAAATCCAATCTAATAGTAAGAAGAAAATTTCAGACAATGATAATGGAATCGCTTGCCTCTTGGAGATGTGGGTGTTCCATTAACTGGAGGTTTTCAAAAATAGAATGGACCACTGTTTGACAAGGATGGTATAAGATCTCCGGCTTTGAGCAGTGAGTTGGACTAAAAGAGCACTGTGGTACCTTCCAGCCTTTTGATTCTATGTTCTATGTCAGTGATAGCTAACCTTTTTGTCCTCACGTGCCCACACCCATAATGCAATGCGCGTGTGACATCCCCCCTTGTGGGCCCCGCCTTATATGCATGTGCACGCGACACTCCAGCACTCCCTCCTGCAGCCCATTTTGGGCCTAGCAGACCTCCCTGAAGCCTCCTGGGACCAAAAACAGGGTGTGAAGGGCACACTGCACCCCCCTGTGCGCCCTCACATGTGCACACCTCCCACATGTGCGGCAGAGACCCCAAAATCAGCTGGAGGAGTGTGCACATGCGCAGTGGAGCTGAGCTGGGTAATGACTTGCATGCCCGCATAGAGGGTTCCGCGTGCCACCTGTGGCATGCATGCCATAGGTTCGCCATCACTATATTACGTTCACATAAATATAATAAAGTGCAAGCAATGTCATTTAGCACAAATGGCTTACAAAATAATGTAAGTACCTTTAATTAATGTACTAAAGCATTCCCCATGTTTTTAAATGCAAGACAGTTCTAAAGTTTCATGTTAAAGTAAGCCACTTTGTACTATGTGTATGTAAATGAATTGTTGCTTATTGTAAAAGCTTAGAACTTTGTACTGATTCTCTCTGAATAAGATTTCTACGTACAAAACTAATACATAAATATAGGGCTACAAATGCAGAAGGAAACAATAAATCATAACTATGCCAAGGTGAAAGTAAAGCTAAAATCAAGGAGATCCCCAAAGACTAATTCTATTCCCCAAGCAAAGGGCCTCTTTTTCAAATGCCCAAACTGATTTCATGCAAGACCTTAAGTTATAGAGTGATTTGCTGTCTGTGTGAACTCTGCCATCATGATTTATAAACCATGGTTTATGTCAGTCACGTGTGTGAACCTAAGAAATTACAGCTATTGTTAAGTAAACCACAGCTTTGTGTAATGCATGAACCCACCCACGGAAAGTTTATTTCAGGTGATGTCATATTTCTGGTCCAAACTGGATACAAAGGCCTCCAACGCTGATTAAAACACAGTTTACTAGCCAGTACGCACAATCCTAGTGAAACTTTCACAGGAATAAACAAAGACCACGGCCACAATACTGAAGACACACAGTAGGAGACTACTGTCATCAACAAACTGGGCATCCAAGCATGAGTTAATGTAAACATGATGTAATAAAATTAAAGGAGCTTGTCTTCATAAAAATGTCCTCCTTACTTTATACATATCTTACTTGTCAGACAATACCCACAGTTAAGCAACACTGGCAATGAATTACCAGTCCTAAAATTACAACCAAAATAAAGTTGGCACACATCAAAAAGCCACCCATCTGTCCTCTTGTAGCACAGCATTAACTCTGCGCAATTAACCTTCTTAAATAGCAAACATGCACTGTGAGGGAGAGTATTGCTGGCTTCTAGATGAAAGTTTAAAACAAAACCTTCACAGATTACAAGAATCAGCCGTAGGAAGTAATCACTGTTGTGGTTAACACAATCAAAAGATCAACCACTTCCTGATCTCTGATGGCGGAGTATAAGAGGTATACTCCATTCAGACTTTTATATATGTGGAAAGTCTGTTGCATATAACTCTTTGAGATAGGGGTTAGTTAATACTGAGATAGGCAATATTACACTCTAGGGACTGGCAGCTCAATTATAATCCCATTAATCTTAGTTTAAAAATCACTCCACAATTGCAGTGGATATGAAGTCATTAATTCATTACTCTCATGCAAAGAGAATGGTTTATATGGCCTAGTAATTTATATAACATCAATAAAAGTAGACATCAAAGAAGGAAGGGTAGAATTTTATTCAAGAATGTGAGCTGCAAGCTATAGCTTCGGTATCTTAATGGCTATCTTTTTTCCCTCATGAAAAGAGCTTTTAAATCATTGTTTAAGTCTGGTTAGGTATCAAACTCTCCATGACAGATAAGGACATCTCTTTATCTCAATGTGATTTTGTTCTAATTCTGCTTCTCGGGTTGCCCGTAGGTTTCAATCTAGGCACAGATATATCCTACTCTGTTAAGGTGATTTGACATTTCTCAGGTTACAGTGTATGTTAAAGTGCTCTAACTTCTTTAAGTAGAATCCCAGATCCATGTATAGTATATTTAAGTTGTCTAACTCTGCTAAAAGAAAGTTATTACAAGCAGCAATGAAAAAATCATTTTCCAGGGATAATTTTAATGTTTAATAAATCAAAATTTAGATCTTTTGATCTACTTATGAAGTTCTATCTATCCATACACATTTATGAGCAGTTTTCTGCCTAAAAAGAATAGGAAAACTGCAGTCCTAATCATACTTACTTTCAAAAAATGCATCTACAGCCAAAAAGGAAATACTTGTACATAAGAGGTATGAAGAGAATCTGAATCACCAGCTTAGATAAAAACATGTTTTATTGCCCCATATTTTAACACCTGAACTATAAGATAGCCATATGGATCCCCAATCTGAGGACATCCTGAATTAAGTCCTGTAATTACTAAGTTGAGACTCATCAAACTATTTAACAGATAACAAGGGTCCAGTGTGCAGCAACCAAAGGAAAGGCCTACATCTGCAAACCATTTCATTTTTTTCTACAAAAAAAAATCAGTTTTCTTCACTTTGGACTGCAACTATTAATTCCTTAGGAAGCATAAAGAAGTGGCTTATAAAAGTAGAATATTCTTTGTCCTGTAGAAGCAAACAGCAACTATTTATCCAATTGCCTTTAAATTTCACCACTGAATTAAAGACGAAAGAAGAGAAAGTTGAATAACTAAAGATTGGCAGAAAAGCCTATATCAGGTTTAAAAAAATCTATATCTGAAATCAAATGCTGTATCCATACAATATACAAATTACACTCTTACGATAATCAGCAGATGACTTTCTATAAACCCCTACATTTGACAATCATGAGCTTCCTAAGTTTGTGCAGTAATTTTAAGGAGCTCTTATCATATACAACATGGGGTTTCCTGGGGCCTAATCTTAGGTTTTAACTAGGGCTGTTATAAATGAAATTTAAGAGGACATTGATATATAAAAACAAGGAGCTTTCCAACCTGCCGATCTTGTTTGACTTTAAAATAATTCTAATAAACTAATCCTACCTGACCACCTTCAATGCTTATTTCAATCATTAATTAGAATGATTTTTTTCTTCCCAGACATGTTCAAAGCAGTCAGGTTTCACAGGATTATAGGATGAACCAGGAATATAGGACCTTTCAGAACAGACACATGTTGAACAAAGCAACTTGTAATGTGTATATACCTACCGCTAAGAGAAACTCAATTGGGAACTTAGGGAGGACAGAAGGTAAACATTAAGAGCTTGCAGATTAGGCTCCCATGAAGGAGGAACTCTACAACAAACCTGCACCCACAGTTTGAAGAATGAGGGGGTGTGAGGTGTCCCCTTTAAAACATCTCATTCTGCAGAGTCTATAATACTGTAACTAGAAGGGGAATGGGCAGCTTCTTATTCCCTCTGGGTTCTCTCTTTTGAGGATGTGAGAACTCTCTACCCCCAAAGGGATGTCAGAGTTAGTTGCTCAGCAACTAGCTACAACTAGATATGTCAATGAAGAGGAAAGGCACTGTTATCACACCCTGCAAAGAAGAAAGGGTTAAAAACTGCCCTTCACGAAGGGGATGGAGACCTGGACGTGGAAAAAGCACTCACACATAAGGCAGAGTTTCAAAAAAATAAATAAATCTGGCATGCCTATCCAAAACAATCTAGACTTTGCAAAGGAGACACTTACAGATGAACTATCCAGGTGGGCAGTTCCAGGGGAACTCTTTCTAGTCCCCGGTTGCTGCAGTCCAACAGATCACCGGTCCAGGTACAGTTGGAGTCATACTCCGCGCAAGAGCCCATTTCCACGAACATTTGGAAAATCAAAAGCAGAGTCCAAAAGGCATCTCGGAGGAGTGAAGACCTCCTCTCTCCCCATCCTGACAGCGCCATTTTGTATCCTTGTGGAAAAGCCGGGGACCAAGAGCATGCACAGAGTGGAAACACCCAGCCAAAGTTTAGCGGGGGGGGGGTCCCACTCGTGTTGTTTTTTCCCCGCTTTTCTTTCTCCTAGACCTGTGCTCTTGGCTCCGAGGTCAGCAGGCCTCCAAGAAGCCCTTGGTTAAACCATGGCACCTCAGTCCAAGCGCCGGGAAAACTCCTTTCAGTTTTCTCGGGGTCCGATCCCGGCGCAAAAGGGATCGCAGCGGCGGCTCTTCCACGCAGCAGGATTTTAAGAGTCTCCAACGCCGAGAGGGAAGAAGAAAGCAAGCTCTTGGCCCCGGCACGAAGCTGCTAAAGATCCCCTCCGGGATCACTGCTCGCGGGCTAAGCGAGGGACTGGGTCCTGTGCTGGGGAAAAGGGAGCCCGCATCTTTTCGGCTGCAGGCTGCCGCGCCTGGGCCGAGCCCGGGAAAAGCTCCACGCACCCAAAAAGTTCCTCCTCTTTTCTTCCCCTGCTGCTTCTCTCGCCTCCACCGCTGCAAGAGGAGACCGAGTCCGAAAGCTCAGCGGAGTATAGAGAGCCTAGCTTTGCAGCGGGAGACAGCAACGCCGATGCCTGGCCCTTCTTCCTCCTCGGAGGCTCCGACACCTTTCCCTAGCACGGGCGAAGCGGTGCTCGCTCTATCTCCGCCTCCGCAACTTTCCCCTCTTGGCTTTCCTTGCTGGCTCTCCTCCTCCTCCCGCCTCCTCGGGCACTGATCGCGCCCCGCTCGGGAGCAGCCAAGGCAAATCGAGCAATCCTCTCGGGGTGCCGGTGCAAGCGGCCAGTCAGTCACCTTCGCGTCCCCACCTCCCCGGTCCGCAAAGTCACTTTTCAGTCCCCCCGAGCGTCGGTTGCCCAACTCAAGCCCACATTAGACACATTGCAACATGTTCCGTCCTCTTCCCGCTCTCTTATTGGCTCCTGGGCATTCCGCGGCGTGCCCGCGCGCTTCCCGATTGGACGGCAAGCCTTTTTCTCCCGTTCGGATATACAACGTTCCATTGAGGTTGGCAGGCCGTCAATCAGAGGCGAGAGGTCCCGCCTCCCTTTCCCACCCAAGGTGTGAAAGCGGGGAGACTCCTGGTTCGATCCGAGCGTCTTAAAGGGGAAGCGCGTTGTCAGCGGGAAAAACCAAACGCATCTTCCTCAACCTCACAGGTTGGCTCGGTCTCTTGAGATCCCGGCCTTTGAGTCATAAGGAGCCCTGAGCCATAGAAAGTCCTTCGAGCTCCCGACTGGATTACTGATATTTTAAATGGAAATTTAACTTGGGAACCAGAAATTTCCAATCGGAGAAAAACGAATATATAACGCACCAGTTGTGTCTGGGTGATTTGCTGTATGACAGGGGGAGGGGAGTAGATTTTTTTTATTGTATTTGGTTTGTTTTTTATTTATTTTATTTTTGATTTTATTTATTTCGTCAATCATGAATTAGATAACATATATGCATAAACTTCATTATAAATACATGAAATGAATACGAATACAAGGGAATATTAGGACAGGGATGGTAGGCATGCTGGTGCGCTTATGCATGCCCCTTAAAGACCTCTTAGGAATGGGGTGAGGTCGACAGTAGACAGTCTAAGGCAGTGATGGGCAACCTTTTTGGCATGGTGTGTCAAAAATCGGCAAAAAATCGAGCATAACTCGCNATGGGATTAAGGCATGATAATATTGGCCCTTTACTCAAATGACCACATGGCATCTGAGAACTCAGCCAAACCTGGATTCAAAACACAGCCTACAGATTTGCCCCTGCATGGCCCCATGGGAGTCTGACAACCAATCCGAATACATTTCTTACACAGGAACAGGAAACAGAGAGGTGGGACTGAATAGGTTATAAAAAGCCTAGCAAACCCCTCCCTCAGCCCTTCTCTTTTCTCCACCAACATTGAAGCATGTGATCACCTTTTCTGTTGAGGAGCTCAAGCCATGTGGTCCTGTCCACCAATAAACCATCTTTCCAAGCAGCTTCCCTGTCTCCAGTGTCTTTTTCCCCACTTGGAGCCGAGCCCAGAAGGACATTTCTTTCATCAGTTCTAAATATAAATTATGGCTTTCTGGTATTATGAATCAAGTGATGTCTAGTCATTGTTACTGAACAGCAAAGGTAGCTCTTGGGTTGTTAAAATCTCAGCCTACATTGAAGTTAACTTTCAGTGATCTCTGGAGTCCTATTAGTATTAAATTTATTTCTCTCCTATTTTGCAGTTCGAGGTCACTCTGAGCACCTTATAGAGAGATAAAATACAGATAGTCCTCAACTTACAACACTTTGTTTACTAAAAAATTCAAAGTTACAACAGCCCTGAAAAAAGTGACTTCTGACCATTTTTCACACTTAGAATTGTAGCGTCCCCATGATCATGTGATGCAAAATTCAGATGCATAGACCTGACTCATATTTACCAAGATTGGAGTTTCCCAGGGTCATGGGATCACCTTTTGAACCCTACTGACAAGCAAAATCAATGCAGGCAAATAAAGCCAGATTCATTTAACAAATGTTTCTAACCTAACAACTGCAGAGATTCAATTAACAACTGTGGCAATAAAGGTTGTAAGATGGAGCAAAACTCAACTGTCTCAGCAAACAGAAATTTTGGGCTAAATTATGGTCATAAGTTGAGGACTACCTGTATACAAATATGCAAACAATTATAAATATAAAAACATTAAAATTACAAAAAATAAACTAAAAACAGGTTTGGAGTGGAGACTTGGAGGTTCTGTGTTAGTGCACCAACCAACTCTAGCCAATAGCTTTTCCTTCAGGACCCCATGCCAGTAGGCATAGCCAGGTTTTAAGGTTTCTCCTGAAGGCTAAAGGAGAGAGGGAGCAGCTCTGATCTCTTATGGCAAGATGTTCCAAAGGGCAGGAATCGTGGAAGAAAAGGCTCTTCTCCTTGATCCCACGAGCTGAAATTCCTTGGCTGATGGGATCCTCAGTAGGACCCTCTGCCAACATGAGTGGGATAGGCCAAACCCATTGGGGAAAGACAGCTCCTCAAGTATACAAAGGAGACAGTCTGTAGTGATCATTCCAAGCAGACTGTTGATCAGCTGATTGGTTTAGATCTAAACAAGGTAGAGAGCTGAAGACAATGAAATTGCAGACCACCCAAAGAGATGGAGTGAAATTGGCAAGAGTTTTTGAACACAAGAAATTATTTGTCCCATCCTGCGGTGATTAGAGCAAAACAACATTTTTGCATCTTTGAGCCACTTGTTTGTGTAGAATCTTTTCCAATAAAGCAGAATTATGAAGCCTGGGCTGTAAAAACCACAGGCAGCAAGGAGATATAACAAGTTTTACAGACCCAGTTCTCATATTTGTATCTTAGGGCAAGTTGCAGGACTTCAAAACTGAACCAATGTAAAATGACAGAATGATGTTTGCTTAAGGCTTTAACAAGAAATTACATGAACAGTTTTGATACTTCATGAAAATTCACATCACATATTTCAGAGAAAGTAAAAAGAATTCCACAATTCCTCCACAGAAAGCATGAAGTCTCAAGCAGGACATAATTTTAAACTGGAATATGACTTAGTGATGACTAGCAGGAAACCATACCAAAATGTGTCTGTAATCTGAATATGTAACAACCTATTTATTTCTATATATGTATATTAAAATATATGTATTGTTACTGTAAAATAGCATAAATAAACCATACATTCTTCAATATATTTTGTTCTTATCATTTCTTAATCCAAAGGAAAACCATATATTCTTCATTCCAAGCTGTAGCTTGTTCTCCCTGATGTGTTCTTGACAGATCACTACAGTATTCATTATTCCTAGTCTGTTAAATTCATATTTCTCTGCCTACATAAATATTCTTCTGAGATGCTGCTCAGGTTTTCTGTCTTAACAAGGTCAATGAGTTATAGAGGTTACCTCCTCTCTCTTTGCCTAACTTCCCATGCTGAATGGGGAAGTCTGATCAGAACTTATGTTCAATTTATTGGAATATGACTATAGGTAGTCCTTGATTTATGACTACAATTGAGCCTGAAATTTCTGTTGTTTAGTTACACATTTGTTTTGCCCCTTTTTATGGCCTTTGTTGCCACCATTGTTAAGTGAATCACTGCAGTTGATAAGATAGTAATCCGGTTGTTCAGTGAATCTGGCTTCCCTGTTGACTTTGCTTGTGAGACGGTCACAAAAGTGGATACCATGACCACGGGACACTGCAACTATCATAAATATGAACCAGTCGCCAAACCTCTGAATTTTGATCACAAAATCATGGGGACGCTGCAAAAGTTGTAACTGTGAAAAATGGTCATAAATCACATTTTTTAGTACCATTGTAACTTTGAACAGTCAAAGTGAAATGAGGTAAGTCAAGGACTACCTGTAATGGATTCTGTTGATTCCATTGGTCTATTCTAAATATAAATCTCTCTTATTTCATTCCCCTTCTTGCTACCAAATTTCACATTCTGGATATACTGTAGATCAAAGCTATGGCTTTTCTTTTTAATAAATGTTTACAGTGAAATATGTATTTATATTCAGCAAAAAGATTTACATAAATTTCTGCATCAGGAAGTATGATTGAAATAGTTTTCTTAATAGTCATGGTAACTGAATTTACAAGAATTTGATTAAAAAGCCTCTTAATCACATATCTTCATAAATAGATCTGCAAGAGAATAAAACTTCAAAAGAAATAAGATTAGGTCAAATATAAATGGCTAGAAATTGCCTAATTAGTGCACTTACAGTTTTAAATAAAATCATTGTTACTGCATACTTTATTTCATAAAATTGTTTGTATTTTAAGTAATAATATTAAGTATTATAAATATAAAATAATTCAGGAGCATTTAGTTTCATAGAATTGCAATTATTCTATGGCACATCCTTTTAAATTTTGGTGATCAGTATCACATATTTCAACTGGAACATAAATTTTACATTTAAAAATAAATTATTAAAAACAACTGAATGCAAGGCAATATTCAAAAATTCAGTAGAAATTTTGTTAAATATAATTATTATTAAGTACTTACTCAGGAGGATAGAGGCCTAATACATTCTCTATTTAAAAATAGAAGACTGGTCTAGAAAGTTTATAAGCATAAGATTTGCATTTAAATAAAAACAATACCATATCCTTTCTTCTTATTTTTCCAATATATCTAAATGATTTTGTCTTTATTCCAAGTTACAGCTTCTTATAGAAATGTGTTATCTAAAAATTGCAGTGCTATGTACTTAAATATGAAGCAGCTGCATTCTGCTCAATAAATAATACATTGAATTACAATGTCGTGGCTATTAATAACCAAACTTCAGATGTTCAGTAATCATCCTTTTGTAACTTTATGGGCTAGCATAAATGTTTTGAAAAACAAGGATGTCTAATTTGAGATAATCATTTCACTAATTTTTTTTCCATGCAACTTAGAATGTCCATTCTGTACAGAAATATTTCTTAACCTTGACAACTTGAAGATGTGTTTTGGATTAGAATTCGCATCATTTCAGACCATTTGCTAAGGAGAATTGTTTTAAAATCAGGATCAAGAAAGTGATTGGGATTTTTTTTTAAAGATGTAATGAAATAATAAGGGTAATGAGAGTCAGTCTGGTGTAGTGATTAAGACACTAGGTTAGACACTAGGAACCAAGATTGTGAGTTCTAATACTACCTTAGACATGAAACCGGGTGGGT